GGGTGCCGTGATGGAACACTCCAGCAGCAGATGTGCAGGAGAAATGTCTCAGACCGGCTCCAACACAGGTGAATGTGCTATGCACTGCATGACTTCCCAAGACCACACCCCTGAAGTGCCCAAAAGCAGGCACGGGGCAGGCTCCTCCACACAAGGAACACACGGGAGCCAGCCCGTCACCAGGTGTATCTTCAACCATGCAGAAGAGCTACAGAGCCAGCACAAGCCTCCATGAGGGACAATTCTTTATTTAGCACTGCAACTTCCAGGAGTCTCCCCTCAGTGCTTCTCACGGGCTGCAGTGCCCTGGGCAGGGCTGGGGCCACTGAAAACAGTGAGGCAGCATGACAGTTTGTGTGGTGCAGTGTCTTAGCACACAAGGCCCTGAAGCAGAGCAACAAATAGGAACAGTGAAGCTTCATCCACGTCACACACATACACCTGAAGTTTTAGGATTTAGGACATACTGCATATTGAGGACATTAGACTGAGTTTTCCCTTCAGTTACATGAAGTGGTTGGTTGACTGACCTAAGGATCTCACTGTATCACCCTTAAAGGAAAGCACAAGAGCCAGCAGAATGCTGCATGCCAGGCTGTACAAGTCTGGCCTGAATGTGGGCATGTGCCTGACGAGCCCACGGAGAGCCCGTCAGCCCCACTGCCACCAGCAGACTGCACCAGACCTCACAGCAACAGCCTCCTGGTTCAAGTATACACTGTAACCCAAGGAGGGTGTCTTCCCTGGCAGGACTGTTTGACACATCAAACCTGCTCACCACGTAACATACAGACCTATGTATGTACTTAAGAGTTGGAATCTATTTTACAGTATTTCAAACAAAACAAAATAAAATACTTTTCAGCTTTTTGGCTAAGATCAAGTATGCAAATATACCAAAAAATATAAACAATTTAAAAATCTATTAATATACAAGCTAAGCCAGTAGTGGTGCACACCTATAATCCCAGCACTCAGGAGGCAGAGGTAGAGGGAATGCAAGTTTAAAGTGAGCCTGGGCAACCTCATGAGATTCTGTCCCCAAAGATGAAAAAAGAACTGGAGGTATAGCTCAGTAGCTCAAACTCCCTGGGTTTAATCTTCAAAAAAGAAAAAAGAAAAAAAAACACACATAGAAGTTTCTTGCCTAGCAATTTTGCCTTGAGAATAAAAGACTGAGATGTGGTCAGTTTGTAATAACCCAAAATAACTGAAGTAGTCACCAACACACAACAAATTACATTCTGATTTGGCTATTTATCATTCTGCATAATTACAATTCCTTCTGTTATTATTATTATTATTTGGGGATTAAACTCAGGCCCTTACGCTTGTGAGGCAGGTGGCGGAACCAATGAACCAACCCCCCCCCCACTTAATTCAAAAGAACAGAAGCTGGGAATGGTGGCACATGCCTGTATACTCAGCACTTGGGAGGCTGAGGAAGGTGGATCACTACAAGTTTGAGGCCAGCCTGAACTACAGAGCGAGACCTTGTCTCAACAGACCAGAACAAGAAATGAAAGAGACTATGATAAATGGAAATGGTAGTTATCATCAAATATGTCTATTTTTCTGCAGAGACCAGGTATCTATCATGAAAATGTGCAGCCAGTTCCCAATGGTAAGAGGGCATTCAATGGAGGGAAGTCAGAAGGGGAAGCTCCCACCCTCCATCCGAACATCCAATGTAGGAGAAAACTGGCAGGAGCCCTAATTCCTCAGGGAAGGCTCTTCTTCCACACACACCCCACTGATAAATACACTTCATTTTGAGAGCACACCAGGTTGTGTGCCCTTCTTCAACACGTGGGCTTTCTGTGCCCACCACTCCGCCTCCCTTGAGGCTCTTTCCTGCTTCTCTGGCTGCACGGGATGGAGAGCAGAGTTGTACACAGCACCCACCCGTATGTGCAGGCTTTCCACACCCCTTCCACACATGAATCCACATGGAAATGTGTGTGCACACACATATACACACCTGCATATCTTCAATACACAAAATAAATCGAGATTGTGTACCAAAGTGCCACTGTTAATTTCACGCTGCGAGCTAAGTACCTAGCTGGCCAGGCCTTCGGTGATCACCCAGGACTATTGCAAGATGAACAGTAACTTCACAGCCCCTTTACTGGACTGCTTGACTGCCTCCAGTTTTATGACGAGCAGATGACACCATGATGAACAGTCTCAGGTCCAATACTTGTGTGTGTCTTTTATAGGCATATTTTAAAATCAACTGCAAAGTCCACAGGAAGGCTAAAAGGATTACTTAAATATTTGTTTGCTTTTATAGCCCTTTTTGTTCAGACTGATATTTTTCTGAAACATGATAAACAGTGTGTCAAATCCAAGACAGTTATAAACAATTTAGGAAGTGCTTCCTGCCTGCTTTTGCTAAAAGAAGAGCTAAGCACTCCATGAAAGCAATAAGATGATTATGGAAATACCACACACTTCATAACAAAGGAGTTCATTCTTAAGTGCAAGAAATATACAATGAGATAAAGAAATAGAAGAGCACATTTCCTTCCAGATAAATGATATTTTTTAAAAAACAACTCACACTGCCAGGTGTGGTGGCACATGCATGTGTCACCTCTAGGAGGCTGAGGCAGGGGAACCCCAAATTTGAGGCTAATTTAACAAGACTGTCTCAAAGAAAAAAATTTTAATGTATATATGTATGTATATTTGTATATATATGAATGACAGGGATTATAGGTAATGTGAAGGCTCTAGGTTCAATCCCCAGAATATCTGTCTCTCTCTGTCACACACACACACAGTACCCAGGAATAATCTAATAAAGGACAAGGGGTAAGATTTTCATGGAGAAACCTTAAAGCCTTCTGGAAGACCTAAGAAAATACAAGTGTGGGGCCGGGGATTTAGCTCAGTGGTGCAGTCACCTGCCTCGCAAATGCATGGTCCTGAGTTCGATCCCGGGTACCCCCCAAAAAAGAAAATATAAGAGTAGCCTTTCACCATGTCCAAAGGGGAGAGGACAGCCCTACAAGGGGGCACAATGAAACCCCAAGGAGATCCATCTGTTTTAGTGCAACCTGAAAGGCTGATTCTGAAACTCACACAGTGCGAGGACGGCTGGGCTGCTGCAGAGAAGCAAAGAGAGGCAGCAGGATAAGGTCTGCAGAGTAACCATGGAGCCAGCCATCAAGACAGGACAAAGCTGACTCTGGCAAAGGAAAACTGGCCAGTGGAACACAACACAACAGGGTGCATAGTCACAGCTGTGACAGACACGTGAGGACAGAGAGACACCTAGATTGACAAGAGAGGGCTTTTCCTCAGAAGGGGTGCTCAGACAACTGATCTTCTGAATGGCAAAAAACTGGAGGAAGGCACTGGAAGGGATGTGCCGTCAGCCTGGTTTCCCCATAGGGTGCTGCTCACTCTGAGACTGGGTGGAAGGTACAGGCAACAGAGGGGCACAGCGTGAGCTCCTGTGATCTCGAAGGGTCAGGTGAAAGACTTTCACAGAGGAAGGAGCTAAGAAAAAACCCAGATGGCTGTATGCGGGCTGTGTGTCCAGTGATACAGAGACCAAAGCCTCTTCTTCCTCTGGTGGGGTAGCACAGGAGAAGAAGGCCCAGCAGACGTGGGGTCCACATGGGCTAAAGGAACAAGGCCAGAGACCCAGGGATTTTAAATACCCCACCTATCTATGAGATTTCAGCAACAAGATGCCCAAGGCAGGATGCCCACCTACTTGAGCTGCATGAAGGACGAGCCAACCTAAAAACTTCTGAAGACCAGACCATACCTCCCCCACTGCCCTTCCAGGCCAAGACAACAAAGCCTTTGTGGGCTGTCCACCTTACAGAGACTTCCACAACCTCTCAGAGGAAACCCTGGGAGAATCCCATTCCAGAGATGGGGAAAAAGCAATGCAGATTGGCTAGATCTTGCTAAAAGACACATCAGGCTGAGTCATTTATCTGCTGCACAGATGGATGTGGACTGCCACCACCACACTCCTGCACCACAGCAAAGGAAAATTCAACCTGACAGAAAGGGCCCTGGAATCTCTACCTTCTTAACATACAAGGAACAGCACACATCAATCACTACTGTGACGAGGAAAGACAGAGGTCCACAGGACACACAGATACAAGGACCAGAGACTGGACACAGACCAAAAGGCAATCCTGACAAAGATCAGTCAACATGAGGTGTCAAAATTTGTGCATAAATACAATGGAACAGTAACTCATCGTAACTGTATCCTCTATGTCCACAGAATGGACTACAATGTCTGAGAAAGATGATATTCTACACGAAGAGCAGAGCAGACACTGTAGACATAAAGATGAATGACTCTGAAAGAAAAATAGAAATTATCCAAAATGAAACACAAAGAAAAAAACTGACATAAAACAAATATAGTGAGATGTATGTATGTACAATACATACAAATTATGTGCAAAGAGAGTTTCCACAAAAGGAACAACCAAAAAGAGCTGATGGCTGTGTGTGGGAAGAATTCTAAAGCAGTACCAGGCCAGGGGTGGTGGCCTACACCTAGTCTCAGCACTCAGGAGGCCAAGGCAGGAGGACTGCCATGAGTTTGAGGTAGCCTGGGTTACACAATAAGTTTCAAGAGCAGCCTGAACCATACAGTGAAACCCTGTCTCAAAAAATGAAAACCAAAACCAAAAACAGTCCCAAATACCTCTCACAGTCTTCTCATCTTTAGAAAGTAAAAATTGCCTGAGTACAGTGGCCAAATTTGGTACCATGTATCCCAAAGTGAGAACACTGAAGTTCCACTCCTGGTTGTAGACCCCAATACCACAGAAGTCTCAGTAGCTAATAACAAGTCCTAGCAAGGAGTCAGATGCATCGATCCACAGAGGGACAGAACCACCATGGCACACAGGCAGCTCACAGTGCCAGAATGCGCCAAGATGAGGTGAGTCCAAGACAAGCTCACGCCATCCTCTGTGGACTCAATTTTTTTCGTACCACCGTATTTTTACCTTATAAAACACATCAGGCACGTACTGCTCGCTGCTGGATTCCTTGGCGTAACCAAGCTCAGGGGCGTCCTTACATGGCAGCAGACATTCATCACGGACCAGTGCCATACACTGATTGGATACTTGGTACCCTTCAAAGTGGACCTGGTTGTCGGGACCACCTGCAAGAAAGAGAGACCTTCAAAGAGAATCTACCAAGGGACACTCAGAACTGGTCCATGTCTGTCACCCACCTTCTGGAGGTGGCTGGAGCACATGGCCTTGGACATAAGCATTTGACCACTGACCCTCCCTGCCATAGTCACCTGTGTCTGACACAGATGTCACCCATCACATGTATGTCAGAGTTGAGAATCCAGACGTCACACATTCTCCAACACTAGGTACAGCCATACTTAATGCCATCAAGCATTTAGGCTCTTCGATCATTACCAGGGTGTAAAGAACAGACAGTCCTGCATTCCAAACTTTGGCACCTGAGCAAACAGGATGTGGACAGGGACAAATTTGCCTGGAGACCAGGAAAGGTTGTGAGAGGAACAAGACACAAGCAATATTCAGTAAAAATAATCCTGGAAGTCATATTGCACACGTGACAGGCTCTGCCTCATAGAAACCTATATGATCACACCAGGTCTGGGCACACCTCACACACGAAGAGGTGTGGACACTGTGACAGAGCCAAGGTAACGTGAGCCCTGGCTGGGGGTCTCCTCGCAGTCCCATGCTCATGCCTGTACATCATCCTCCAGCATCTCCCTCTTCCTCTCCAAGCTCCACTCCATAAAAACCTTGAAGCTACGGACTTAGGCAGAATAAAAAGCCGCAAAAGGGAGTAATCCCAACCAGTTATGCCACATCCCTAAATGGGAAGGGTACACAAGTCCATGGCACTGGGTGCGGAGCAGACATCTACCACAGGTGCGCCTCCAGAGTCAAGTTTATGCTACCACAATTCCAAGGTCCATTTTTACATCTACAGAGTTTAAAAAAAAAAAAAAAGTTTGACAAAAAGAGTAATTTACTAACTTTGGATCATAAAGTCAGTCTGCCTGGCTTTCAAACGTGTACTAAAACCACACCTAATGACCAAGAAGCCAGAAAAAGTGACCAACAGAGGCTGAGCCAACTCTAACTTGGCAAACCAGGCTGCTGTCTGTTCTGCACTCAGGAAGCAGACTGCAGTAGGCTGCAAAATATTGAGTCAAACTGGCTCCAAAAGTTTATCCGCTGTGTCTAGCACGTTCTCTGTGCACTTAATCCAGGTGACCACTGACACCTCAGCAGCACACACAGACTGAGCTCCACAGTGTGCCCCAGAGCATGGACCCTGCACCACAGCCTGAGTGCACAGGCTGGAGGAGTCAGAAGAGTCACCATGCACACACCTGTGCATGTTTTGTTCTGAGCATCATAAACCCACACTGGTGTTTAGATCTATGATTAAGGTGTGATCAAACGCTAGAGAAAGAAAAGCCTGGCCTTTGAGGATGACAGAATAATGAAATGTAGCATTTGTAAAATTGAAGACTGTTGAAAAAGCAGCACTCTTCCAGACAGGAAGTCTCCAGAAGCAATGAGCCCATATAACAGCAAAACCCCAGCCCATGTGGAGCAGCAAGAAGCACAATCCCCACTCACGATCACTCCCTGTGCAGACAGGGCAGCCTGTCCAGAACTGCCTGGGGATGCACCACAGCACCAGGAAAGGGGCAGTAGCAGAAAACTGAATTGCAGTTGAGTTTGAGGTTCATTTCTGGCTTTTGAAACCTGATCCTCAGTAAATAATTTTCACAGCCCAGGAGCACTGAGGACTAGCAAAGTCCCAGAGACACCAGCAGCAGTGTGAAGTTACACATGGGCTCTGTAACATGTAGTCCTTCCACAAACTCCTTCCAGTTGACTCAAGCAAACCTGTACAGACGCCCAGAGGGACTGTGTAATTCCAGGAGCAGAAGACCTGAAGACAGAGGGCTTGCCTGGGCCTGCGGAACCTGAGCAGCAGAGGCTCTGGCTCCTAGGAGGTGCCACAAACATGCAAGCTCACACTTTTCTGCCCAAAAAGGGACTCAGGGAAGGGACTGCAGCAAATGCACTTTCTAGCAGCTCCTCAGGGTTTCCACTTGTGTCTTTACCAAGGGACCTTAACAAAGGGCAGAGGGCAAATTTCACATATAGTTAGGAAACCTATGTCCCAGCTACACTGACTAAAATCTTAAATTAGGATCGGTTAGTGTGCTGGCCCGGAATGGTGGCGCACACCTGTAATCCCAGCGTTGAAGAGGGTAAGGAAAGAGGATCGCCATGAGTTCAAGGCCAACTTGGGCTACACAGTTCAAGCTCAACTGCAACTATATAATGAGACCTTGTCTGAAAAAAGTTTTTTAAAAACAGGATCTGTTAGTACTGTGGACAGCCACTCTTCAGCCAGTGTCCCCTTGGAAAAGGGTGACAATGACAAGACTGAGCACTGAGAGAACCACCAGCATCCAGACACACT